AATAACATCAGTGGCTGTGCCCAACGCTGAGTAGTACAGACGTTTAATTTCCCCCCTCCCCACCCACCCACTGAATAAGAACAGTGGCCCGACAGACTACACAGAGATTAAATCTAATCTAGATTCCATCAAACAGATTAATGTATCTATGCAAGATAAAATGAGAAAAGAAAATCTAAGAAAAGGCTTCTGATCCACAGCATGGCTCAATTTCTGAGCTTTGACAAGAATGCGAGGCATCAAACGATCATCTCTGACTCCTGCAGAGACAAACTAATCTAATCTAACACTATACCAGCAATCATACAGCAGAAGCAGCTGGAGAGAATCATCACTAAAGCATCTGAAATCTCTCCCTTTTCCCTATACAGTGCACTCAGTAGTTTAATCTATAGTGAACAGTACTGGTAGATGATGCACAATGATAATAAATCATTCAAAAATCTCAGCCACGTGCAGTCTAACAAATGTGACACATTTTTATCAAAAAGTCAGGTAGAGTATGAACACATATGGAACATTTTTCCACTCAATATAATTATGTAGGGCATAAATGTCTTGCTCCAATTTCAGTTCATTGGTACATGTACATAAACTACTGGTATACTAACTAATATTGTAGTATCAATGATTTGAATATGTGCACAGTTTTGATTATGCTGTGAAAAAAATCAGGTCTTTAAAAGGCACTGGATGCTGCTGAACCATCTAAACATGAAGATTTTTCCACAGTCTGATGATAAGAAAGCAAAAGTGGTATGAGTCTTTAATTTTAGACGAGACTGTTAGACATCCAAGATCCTCTAGTGAGGAGACCTGTGGGATTTCTGAGGGAACAGAAGTTCAGAAATATACTGAGTCACATGACCTCTCAGAGAGTTACAGAGAAACACCAAGAACTTCAAGTTGATTTGATTGTTGGCTGAGAATCAGTGAAGTGGTACTGTGTGTTTGTTCCTTGTTGAATCACTAATGCAATGCCTGTACAGGCTGTGCCTGTTCAGAACGGGCCAATAGACCTTTTTCACAGCAGCCATTTTGAAATGAAATAGTAGTAATAGTATATATACATACATATATAATAATGTATAAACTATTTCATATCAGTTTGGCTGCTGTGAAAAAGGTCTATTACTTGGCCCACCAAAGTGGTGCTTGCAGCGTTCTCAAGATCCGATCGACTTCACACTCGACCCTGAACAACCCAACCCGCCAAGTGTGAAGTCATTCGGAACGATGGCTCTTCAGACAGACAGACATACATACAGACAGACAGACAGACAGACAGACAGACAGACAGACAGACGGATTCCTATTGTCATAATTAATTTTGCAGCACTGAAGGGGCGTCACAGCTGAGCACAGTTACAGTACTCTAGGCTACAAGAAGAAATGCATGAATGACTTTTTCCCCAGCCTACTTAGATACAAAAATGTCTACATCATAGAAATACTAATAAGGAGGAATATTGATGTTCTGGGAAATGCTTATTTGCTTTCTAGGGTTATAGTAGAAAACCGATAGTACTCTCATGTGTATAGGCTAAATAAAGCTACAGCCAGCAGGCGGTTAGCTTTGCTTAGCATAAAGACTGGAAACAAGGGGAAACACCTGGTCTTACTTTGTGTGACATCCAACCAGACTGGCTGTTTTACCCTGTTTCCAGTCTTTATGTTACAGCTGCAGTTACCTTCCAGCTGTAGCTTCATAATTACCGGATGGATATATATTGGCAGATTACTCAAGAATATTAAACTATTCCTTTAATTTACTCCTAAAAAGTTTAGTCCTAAAATTTACTATTAACTGACAGACTAACAAAATTAAATCAGGTGTTGATTTCTGTTATTGGCATGAAGAAATGTGTTAGTCAACCAAACACTTTATTAAATCGAAACTAATATAGCTATGTGGATCATATGGGATTAAAGAGGAGAATAAAATCAATGAAACCTTCGGCCCCACTAAAAACAAGCTATGAGTCAGCGTGTCAGTCAACACATCATAAAACAATATTTACACAAGCAATGCTGTCGTCAGTGCTCTCATACACGCAGGGGTATTTTGCCTCTTCCTCTCATCACTTCATATAGAATCATTAAGAAACCAAATTCTAACTAATCATGGCAGGAAATTAAATCCCTAACAGCCACAAGTCACTATATCATATCTAATATGTCTGTAGCTTGGCCTCCTTTGCTGTTTATCTCACCGGTTCCTGGACTGACAGCTGGTGAACAGCCAGAAGGGACAAGGGCAATGTCGAGCCAGACAAGCAAGAAAGGAATGATAACTGATGAGGTGAGCAGTTAACTGAAGATAATTCATGAGGGGCGACCCGAGCTAAGAGCTGCCAGTCACGATGCAGGTGCCTGGCCACATCAACAATGCATCACGGTGCCTATGCTGACACCACCCTCTCAGGAGTTTTCATTATGTAAATCAAAATGTATCCAGACAACCAGAATTAATCACTCACTTAACTTTGTTTCATACCATTTTGTATATAAGATACATCACAGATTTATCCTGTGTTTATCTGGTCCTTATAGAAACCAAACTACTAAGCAAAGTAGCATTAGTGACATACTTACACCATTAGTCTACACAGGGCCATGCACTGCACTAAAGCCAAAAGAGGCTTACAAGGACTTTAATTTAAATGTGACTATGACGCGGGTGAATGGGGAATGCATATAATATGGGATTAAGACTGATGGTTTGCATCTTTAAGCCAATTTAAAATCATGTTTACTTTGCACGTTTTTAAAGCACAAAAGTTTTCGATTGAATTCCAATCTGGTCCGGCTGCAGCATACGTTTGTGAACATTGTGCCCATAAATACTTGATTCTGCAACAACTGTCAGTCTCCTGGTCCACTATTAAAACCACTACCTCAGTGACTGCCTGTAGATTTCTACTAAAAACAATTTTTTATATAATATAATAATGATAATCTTCATTAAATGGACCTCTTCCTCTTTAATAAACTTTATTTTGAAGAACTATACAGATAAAGTTTGTTATCACTATTATTAACTTCCTGCTGGTGTTTGTTCATGTCATGAGACTACTGAAATTAAGCTTTAGGAAGTTGAAATTTGCCGTCCATGATATGAAATCCATCACAGTAAACTTCATTTGTTGTTAAAGTTGTCTCGTGTGTTAGAAAGGTATATTTAATGGTGGATTGACTGATCCTCTATAACCTGATATTTAAGAGTTATAAGGTTGCATTAATTGTCATTCAAGTAAACCTGAAGGACAAACGAAAAGAATAAGTCCGTTATTTTCTTGCATTATAAAAAGATTTTTGGTCTTAAGTCAATACATTTTTCTGTATGTGAGGTAAAATATTCTAAACTCATTTCTACTAGATAGAAGGTCTATTTACTAGATTTTTCCAAAGCTTTTGCCTATATCCCACTGCCTTCTTCAGCAATTTAAAGTTGTTACAGTGTATGGAAATATGGTCACATGATAACAGGTGGTTGACTATGATGGTAATGACAGCTGAGGCAGCTCCATTCACTTAAGAAGGCCTATATCTATCCATCTATCTATAGATAGATATAATCAAATGCTATTAAGTGTAGTTAGTATTTTATAACACATTATGGGTTTGAAATCCAACTGCATCACCATGTGTTGATCTTTCTTTGAAGAAAAATAATGAAATAAAGGCAATTAAGTTATCTTGGCAATCAGTTTCAAGTCTCTGCATGTGGCTTTTTTAAACCTAAATAGATGAAAAGGAAACCCTTCAAAAAAAATTTATGGTTTGTCTTAGCAAATAATTAGCAGCAATGCATTTTCTATTTGATTCATAGTTAATGGGCTTGAACATGAAAACTGTCTCAATAGTTATTTATATAATTGTGTTATGGTTTAGTCCTCCCTCTGCCCTTGATTATGTACAATTTAAATCAAAGTTGTAATTTCAAGCACATACTGAAAGGGGCATGATATGCATTTTATACATAGTGCTTAAATGAATGGAGTACAAACAACCACAGGGGGTCTGTGCCCATTTTCTTCCTGAGCAGAGTCATTATCTTGCAGAGAAGGATGCTAATAAGATGGATAAGCATCCCTCTCTCCACCACGCTTGTGATTTGGATGCTGCTAATTAGTCCCTTATTACATGCACACTGAGATAATGACCTGCGAGTGCCTGGACACACTCAGCGCTCATCCTTCCTCTGATATTCTCCCTGTGTCACACACACACACACA